TAAGTATACATCCCGCAGCAGCTGCATTCACTTTGAATCATGATAATACGAACATGTGCTACATGTACAACGCATGTTTTAAAGAAGACTATCGCACTAACATAGACATGTAATATCGGAGGTTCTAGAAACTCGTCGCTGCCAAATGACACGCGATGAGAGGAACTGCCTTGACGTCATACCTTAGCTCATAAATCGTGCTGCTGCAGCTTTATAGAGAGGCGTAGAAATAATGAAACAAGAAAGTCTTTGAGGGCTCATATAGTAATTCCCAAAAGTCCCATCATGGTGACTTTTTTTGAAACGAGACTGTCTGCTGTCTAAGAAGCGGTGTAAGCAGAAAGACAGCTAGACCCACGCAGCTGGGTATAGGTCGAACCGTGCAAAACCGTGAATAGGCGTAGTCAAATCACGTTCAAGTAAGAAAAAAGAAACCCCCGGGCTAGAGCGACAGCGCTTATGCTCAGTGGGCTGATAGATCTGCACCCCGCTGACACCAATGCCATGCCACTTGCTACAACCGTTTGCGCTGTTCCCGTCCACCGCCCCTCCATCACGGAGTCCGCCCACATCCGGTTAAGTGCTCTCGGGCTAATGCCAGGTGGTTTCCCAGCTCCTGGCATGACCTGTTGCCATCAGGTCAAAACGCATGCAGCACCACAGCGGTGCGAGGCGATTTGCCATAGGGCTTTGTTCCTGTTCTGCTGGTGATGTTGCGTGCTGGTGATCATAGTTACGATCACAACCGATCCCCTCATCAATGTCCCTGCACGGCCCAGGGCATTCATGAGAGTGCATGCACGATGAATGTATAGTCATTATGCCCGCTCGAAGCATGCCCGTGTGAGTCAGGTATGAGGCTGATCCGGCGCTGATGTCCGCTGGATTAGACTAGGTACGCAGCCTGTGTCTGACTGTCATGTGACGAGTCGACCATCCGCCTGAACACCACCAGTGTCTTAGGCTTCAGAGCAGAGTCCGCCACCAGTCAGGTGACGAGTCTACCATCGGCCTGAACGCCACCAATGTCTTAGGCTTCAGGGCAGAGTCCGCCACCAATCAGGTGACGAGTCTACCATCGGCCTGAACGCCACCAGTGTCTTAGGCTTCAGGGCAGAGTCCGCCACCAGTCAGGTGACGAGTCTACCATCGGCCTGAACGCCACCAGTGTCTCAGGCTTCAGGGCAGAGTCCGCCACCAGTCAGGTGACGAGTCTACCATCGGCCTGAACGCCACCAATGTCTCGGGCTTCAGGGCAGAGTCCGCCACCAGTCGGCCTTGCTGAGCATTAAAACCGGTCCACTCGGTCGGCTTTTCTGTCTTGAGGACTTTCCGCAGTCAGGTCACGTTTCACTGCTGACTGGGCCTGACGGCAGCGGACTGAATCTGCGACTCTTCAGCGGACAGGGCCCTTGTCGGGAGCTGAGGTGCGTTCAGCTTGGCAGGCCCCTTGTAGCGCCGCAGCTGCTCAGCCTAGTGGGTGAATCGCAGTCGCAAAGGGGACACCTGGCTATCGCCGTCCCGCCGCAGAGATTGTGCTGGAGGGAAGTCGAGACGTACCAGGGACTACCTGGAGACAGCCAAAGAGCATGTGACCAGACGCATGTGGGCGAAACACCCCTTCAAGCCTGCACTGCTAGCGTTCATGCTCTTGCACGGAGGGTGCAAGGACAAGCTCCTCCTTTAGCACCGTCTCCAGGCACTGAAGCCGTGTTTCTTCGCGGCAGGTCAATTATGCTCGCTAACTGTACTGACATGTGAAACAGACGAACCACCTTCCCCAGCGTGCCAGGAAGGAGCTACTGATGTGCGCGCACGCCTGTTGACACCCGGGCAATGAGACCGCAGTGCCCGCAGATCCGTTGTTGGTTGGCCTCGGTCAGCTGCTGTACTGCGTCGTTTGGCTCCTCCCTGAGGTCGCAAAAGGCATGGCTGACAGTTTGGAGACTCGGATGGCCCACTACATTCCTTACCCCACCCGTGAAGAAGTTGCCCCGTGGCCCCGACCCCTCCCCCCACGAAGAAGAGGAGATAGAAATATTGTCAACGTCGGCTGGAGTAACGAAGGTCTCCACCATCATACCACCATAGCGGTCCGCAGCTGACTCAGCTCAATAATTTCTGAATCTCAAGTCAATAGCTATTGCATGTCCCTATACATGCCTTGCGTCTGTGCCACCACTGCATCTCCACGTGACTTTGTACTCGACGTATAACATAACTTCGCAGAAGTAAATGTATAAACATGCGCTCTGCGGGGATCGGGTACCAGCCTGAGCCGGGCATCGCGTGACCTTACGCGGAGTGCCGCCGACCTAAGCCGACGCCGGCCCTGCCACTTGGCCTCCGGATGGTTAAGGTCAAAAGGTCCCCATCTACAGCGGAGCCACCGGGCAGGCATGCAATGCGCATCGTCCATTCTCGCAAATGGCTGTGAACCCGACGTTGAAGACTCAAACTTGACTGAAACATCGATACCACCAACGGCCACCAAGGGAGCGCTGGCTTGCGACGCCGGCCCAGCACTGACATGTGCGCGGCGACGTACCCACGTGTCTCCTGCCAAAGAAGACGGGCGTCGCCCGCACGGCACGAGCGGTGGTGATGGCTGCTCCGGAGCTGTACCCACGCGCGCGGAGTTTTCCAGTTATTTGTCACTTGGTGTGGTCCGCAATTCCCTTCGCCGGTCGGAAGAACTAGGTGGCCAGTCGTTACGTTGTTTAGAAGTGCACGTCTTTGCAAAAGTCTTTGAAGCTTCCAAACATATGTGTGAAAGCACGTGCCACTGCTTTCGTTTACCTGGAGCCGGCCGGCTGTGTGGCATTTCCATGTTCTGGCAGAAGTTCGCCGGGCCAATTTACGATGTGAACCACCGCCTGCCAGGAACAGAAAACAGGGACATGGCCCTCGCCATGGCTCTGAGCAGAGTGCCAGCGAGAGATAGATGTGCCACCAGCTAGCGTCCATGTCCGATTCATTCCCGTCTCGCGTCCTTTCAATTAGACAGTGCAGTGGAAGGTAGGGAGCAGGCATTTCTTGGCCATAGGTCAACGTGAATAAATTCTTCTCTACACCAAGATTAGTTGGAGTCGGTCCGTCATCTTAATAGGTGCAGGCCACCCTATTTGAATAAATCTTAGCCCGCATTTGAACCGGATAAAATATGGATGCAAACTGTATCGTATATAGATGCGAATTACTGATACAATATACTTAGAATAACTACGATGATTGTAGATACCAATGTAACTGAGCTTGCCAATGCAATACAAAATAACTTGCAAAAACTACTGATATCGCAAGCTACAGACAAGTGACACGTAAAACCTACGGAAGTTAGGCAAACAATATTACGAGTTTGGTTATTGTATGACAAAGCGCTGCAACAACACACGGCGAAGCTTGCTGGAAATCTACACGTGAATCTGATGCGGCGATGCCGAGCTCCGTTGCTGACGCTCAAGCTCATGCTCCGATGATGGCGCTCGAGCTCATGCCCCGATGATGGCGCTCGAGCTCATGCCCCGATGATGGCGCTCGAGCTCATGCCCCGATGATGGCGCTCAAGCTCCGACGATGACGCTCAAGTTCTCGCTCTGATGATGATGGTCAAGCGCATGCCCCGATGATGGCGCTCAAGCTCCGACGATGACGCTCAAGCTCATACTCTGACGATGATCGCCAAGCACATGCTCTGATGATGACACTCAAGTTCATGCTCGATTAATAAGTCAGCACGGCACCTCTCCTAAGCAAAACGCTTGTGTTGCGCGGAGAATCGTGGTCCCATTTGTTTTGCCAGACATTTTTCAAGACAAACTGATGTATTGAACGGTTTTTTAGACGATTCGCCACCAGCAGAGTAAAACACAGAAACATTGGCTGCATCAGGTGGATGTATTCATCATTGACTATGCCGTGCAGATTATACACGCAGACATGTACACTGGTCTGCTTTCATCACATCAAACCGCGACAGGCGTAGCGGCAGCCGTACAAGTCACGACGGATGTGGTCAGGGATGTAGGTTCCTATTCGGTTGGTGGGGGAGGCTTCCCCCCCCCCCCCCACTCAACTTTGAGAAGGAAGTGGACCAAGTTCGAAAAATCCGTTTGCTTTTGTATTTTGGGGGTAGGTGACGTCATTTTTTACTGCTTAGCAATCCCCTTCCCCTTCCGACTCATGTTGCGACCATACGTCCCTGGATGTGATAGCAATGTGCATGTGGATACGCGCCCTGCGGCATATCACTGCCTTATACATTTAAACAATACGTAGGGTGCCTCTAAACGTACACCATGATTAACATCGTGTTACCCAACGCACTTGATCTGCAAAATCTACGTGATCCACAGGCTCAGGCCTTTACAACTCAGCCCCCTCAAAATTTAACATATTTTCCTTTATTGGCTAAAGTGCTAAATAAGAACGCATCAGAAATACAAACTAAAAAAGCATAAGAAACGTACGTCTACAACATTCGTGACTGAAGCCTGCAAACACAGCCGTAGGACCGCTACGCACGCTCGCAGTGCACTTTTTGCAGCAACGCGATAGCGCTCCAACGCTCCCCAGAGCGTCCGCCAAATCTGGAACCACACCTGAGCCGACGGCAGAACATCCCACCTCACGCGTGCACGCAGCTGACTAGGGATAATGGCGACATGCACGGCTGGGGGTACCCATCCCGATTAGCGACCCCTGAGCACCGCCTGCGGGCGAGCGTGGCATGCACTGCGCTGCTGACAGCGGAGGCAGCACGTCATATCACAGACGCTGCCGCTCCGAAGCGGCGCCGGTCCCGGCCGCGGTAGCGGCTGACCAGTGCGCCGGGTAGCGCCGCCGTGCCGGGTAGCACCACCGGGCCGGGTAGCGTCGCCATGCCGGGTTGCGCCACCGGACCGGGTAGCGCCGCCGTGCCGGGTGGCTCTGGTGCGCCGGGTAGCGCCAGTGCGGCGGGTAGCGCCAGCGCGCCGGGTAGCGCCGCCGTGCCGGGTAGCACCACCGGGCCGGGTAGCGCCGCCGTGCCGGGTGGCGCTGCCGCGCCGGGTAGCGCCAGTGCGCCAGTGCCACCAGTACGCCGCTATGGCAGCCGCTTTCGAGACCCGTTATATAGCAAATGGAATGACCCCGCCATATAGTACAGCGAGCATTGATGGGCTCAAGTCTGGGCCGGTATGATGCCGCGGCTGGAGAGCGTTCTAGCTCTGGTAGTCAGGGATATCAGCTCTTGTATCGAATTGAAAACGTAACAAAATAGGAATGAACTGCACATAGAACTTGAAGTGCTTTTACCCGATTGCTTCTTATATAGCAATATTAAATAGCGCTTCATCTCGTGTTAATTAGCGAGTGCGTGTGGACGATATGGTGAGAGAAGACGCAAGGCTTGGACCTCTTCCCAAACTCCCTGGGCCGCGGGGCAGGAGCTTCGGTGTCCAGGCCGCGACATTATGCCACCTGTCTGAATGGTGACTGCCCCGATTTGCTTCAGCCTGGAAGAGCTCCGCTGGATGTGCTCCGTTACGCTGGTATGGCTTCCGCACGTACGGGTTCTAGACTGGTCGGGAGAAGTCTTTTAACCCAATCGCCTTCCCTTGCTCCGCAGCTGCTCCGGTCCTCACGTAGCACAAGGAACGGCCAACTTAGGCTCTACTACAGCTGGTGTGATGACATCTCGCCACACGCCACACATAAGCTTGCGGCGTCCGCCCCAGCTGCCACGGTCAATACCCAGCGATTGGTTTACCATCACTGCTCCACATACATTGCCACTGAGCAGCGCTGGCAATCAGAAGCAGCCGCGGCAGCGTCCGTCGGCCGCCTGTTGTTGGGGGAGTCTCACACGTGCATACCTGGAAGTGGGAGGCGGATAGCTGGGGGTGGGGGCCTTTCCTGGACATCAAACTATCTATCGACCCAGGGCAGGAGAGAAGCTGCCACGTCGGCGTGCATTGCTTCTGGACGGCGGCGTGTTTGGTTCCCAGTGCGAGGCGTGTTCCGCGCACTGCTCAGAATGCTCTACGCATCCTGTCACTGGTCTACTGACGACTTTCACTCAGTCAGATCCAGCCAGTGCTCCTCCCTTTTCCATCCCATCTCGACGACCGCCACTGGACGTTTCTGGTAACCACCATACCGGAGCTACGTTGGAGCTTCCTGGTGACCATCACAGAGCAGCTCCATCACTTCCTCGTCAGGCCCACAGGTAGGTCCTGCTGGCCGGTTGATGGCGTGTCTGCGCCCTGAGGACGACTCAGAGCGGGCCATGATGGGCCGCAGGATTGGCTTCAGACGTCGGCAGCCTCCTCCTAGCGGCCGAGAAGGTGGCGACCGAAGAGCAGCAGCACACCAGCGGCCAGCGCTGGCCAGCCGGGCCAGCCAGGTGCCGCTCCACATCCTGAGCACAGCCCGGAGTCCTCCTGGTAGGCGCTGCAGTTGCCCTGAAATACGCCCATGGATCTTAAATGCGGAATGCATCCGATCTAGTTTATAGTTATGCATATATGTATATATGTGTGTTTATATGTTTTTATGAAAGCTAGAAATTTAAAATAAAAAACTCTATGATTGGTAGTATTATGCGGAGCAGAATACTACCAATGCGGTGCGGTGCGGTGCACTACCGGTGCGGAGCACTTTGTGTTTACAAACCGTAATAAATTACCGCTTGCCATTGAGTGCGAAACGCGGTAAACTTTTTTGGACAGAGCTTTCGTGGAAAGGTTCTACCTTCATTCAGCCTCAAGCCTTTATAAACCATTTTAAGGCCGTCATGATACGTTACGACTCATCACCTCCCTATTATTTTACGCACACCATAATCAAAGATGACCGAAACGTAACCGTGCAGGGCGCGCTCTCTAATTGCCAGCAAGCTCATCACCGGCAAGGTGACTATCAAGTACCTGTGTTAAGACTCTGGCCGTCAGACCACGTGAGCCCCAATGTCAGGTAGCCTGCAACTGGCTACCTTCGGCGGCCCGACCTGAGCGGGCCCTGCCAGTCGACGGGGCTTTTTTACGACCAATGTGCGCACTGTCAGGAGGTTTTCGGGAATAGGTGGCACAAGTCTTAAAAGTGATGTAGCAGCATTTCCAAAGCATTCAATCGCGGGTTGTTTGATAAGGCAGCGTACTTCTGCAACGCTGCAATGCCATCATTGTTTCAACTGCTTATTCGATTTACACGGAAATCGTAAAATTTTGACAAAATGAAAAGCCTGAACAACGTCATTCGAGAACGGGTCTAAAATCCAGTGACTAGGCATCGCAAGGACGTAAAACTGGCATAAACTAACGATGGAGAAGGCGGACAATCGCACAAGCACAAAAGTGGGACGATGCGTGGAAACCGCAGCGCACAATCGTGCGCAACCATACTTCGTTCGTTTTCAAGCGTTTTTTAGAAGTGACGTCAAATATCGGCACCAAAGCAATTAGTGACGTGAAACTAGCTGCACAGTGGAGATAAACATACCATCTGCGAATTGCAAAGCGATCTAGACAATATCTGACAGATAGGTGCGCCGCTAAAGCCTAGGAAGCCATCAACGGCACCTGTTCCGAAACCTTCCAGCGATAAAACACATTGGTGCCCGCTTCGCACACAGCTCAGACCATCCAAACTAGTTCGTTGTTAACGCTATGTACCAAAACCCTTGACGCTCTTTCCAAACCTTTGCCAGGTGTGCCAAGTTCCAACTTCCTGGCTTAAAATTCCAGACTATCGGGAGGGGGAGGGGTAAACCGGCCAATATTACAGAAATGTAAATTATAATCTTATGAGCGGGCGCCAAACATCACCGCTCCTCCGTCTGCCAAACACGTGAAAAAGCGCATTGCAACGTTAGGAGCAGGACAGGCCTTCATCTCCGGGTTCGGCGTTATGGGTTTTTACATGGAGTATGCCACCTTTTTTGTACTTGTCCCTTATGGTTGGATCAGACGCGTGCAATGTGATCGGTAATACCGGTTTTCTCGAAATCCTGAAAAACTTAGGGTTTCAAGTCCAAGTAGCCGCTCCTGCGGAGGCAGTAGCAATGGCCTCCCTGTTTACCACAATGAAAGTAATACAATACATTCACCTGGCTTTTTCCAACGTGTATGTTCTGCAATGTATGCAACACTCCAAATTGTCGAAATTCTTGCGTAATAAATGCTACGAGAGCTAATGCTGCTTGAGACATACTGCACGGGACGACTCAGACCTTCATAGGCCAAGACCAAGATAATGAGATCGCCACACATCTGCCTACTCCATCCAGGCCTAAGAACACAAGTGTTATATTGGGACAATATTTAATGGACCGTTTTCAAGTCATGTATGCCGTAGTTCTCATGCCTTTCAACTCCGATGCCTTCATTGCATTATAATTGCATTGTGTTGTACCATTCACATCACTTTATTGCACTATATCACAAAATTAGCCTCTGTACCTGATGCGGATCATCGGAGCCTCTGGACCTAGCCGCATGTGTTAGGGCGGCCGTTAGGACAGTGCCAGACATCACGTCCCTCGTCTCAAGCCGCCACGGGCAACACAATGGTTTTAGTTTCTGTGGGCGTGTTACACCCACCTTCAACAAAATAATTCATGAACGCGATCAGGTGACTGGAGAAACAAGACGAAACTAAGAAACATCTCAGTGGGAGCGGCCCACGCACATCAAGCTGTCGTGGGCGTTGGATCAGCGATGGCAGCCCAGCAGCTGCATCAGCACGTGCTGCGCCCCGTTTCCGGGCGCGAGCCGGACCGGAAGTGACGTAAGTGCACGAGACAGCACGCCGGCCGGATTGGACCGTATATTCCCATTCATGTCCATGAGCGGTGTCGGCGCCATCCGAATCCGCCCAGCGACAGAAATTGACATTGACCACAAGCCGACTGGGTGACAAGGCGCTCGGCGGAGTGAATGGCCGGATCAGGGCTGTCATCTTGCATGCAAAGATGATCCGTAGAAGTTGGGGCCTATTCAGGTTTATACGTCAAGAGGTCTTCTGCTGTCCGGCAAAACCAGCATTTCGGTGGTGTTTGAAGACATACAGTGTTCTGAATTCAAAACTAACTTGGGTCAGTCTGTGCGAAAGAAACGTGCAGTGAGGCGTTGCTTAAAGCGCAAGCAATTTCCGACTTCAACTTTGAAATGAAACTGATATTTACAGCGAGAGTTTCATACAGTGCGAATTGCATAGAAATTATTCCATACATTACATCATGCGCATAGATCGCACCACAAACTGTTCTTAATGACTATGCATGATTGTGACACATTTCGCGATGGTTATGCATATAACGAGCAACCACATAACGAGTTTGCCCAGCACATAACGAGCATCCACTTCATTGAAACAAGGGAAGGTTGAGTCCACGGCCGGGCTCGGGTCGTAGAATTCCGTCCTGTCTCCACAACTGTATGACATTTGCGTGTTTTCAGTCCTTATGACAGCAGCGTTCACACGCGTTCGGCTGCGGGCCAATTTGACCTACCAGGAGTTTTCCCCGAAATAATTACCGAACTACGCAGTGCAGCCGCGCCAAACTTTGCATAGTGTAGAAGACCTCACCGATTTTTTTCGGCATGAAAGGGAATGTTCCACGTTTGTATGGCGTTTTGAACTGAAATAGCCATCTTGACGACCTTTTGATACATTTCACGGTCATGTCCTTTTTAAAATCCAAAACGATCCGGTTCGTAAGTAACATGCCCGCAAAAGTGCGAAAGGGTTTATTTGGAGCCTATTTCAAAGTTGCCTCGGCATTCATGATGCCATAGAAACATCATGCGATCGCGATCATACTATAGGTTGTTCTCTGCTTATGGTCAAAAGAGCATGGCTGCTGGTACATTCGCAAAAACGATGATGCGACACGTATGATCAATGTGCGGAAGATGACTGGCTGTTAGCAAGATTTCGCTGCTGAATGTGTGTCGCGAACGTAAGTGTGAGCACTTTCGGGTCGTGCGGCACTCGTCGTGAACGGGTCATTTTTCCTTATTTCTAGGGCACAGGTCAATATCATAAAACAGAACGCTACTGTTAACAAAAAAGTACGGTACCCAAAACGGCACTCTCCCGAAAGTTATAAAAAGATGACGTGACGGCAAATCCGTCTCTTTTCCCCTGCTGGCGTTTTTTTCTTCAACTAACGCATCTCTTACAACAGCTCTGTTGGCGCGTTGTGTACCGGAGCACAGAACCTTGCGCGGATTTATGGGTTAGCAAGGCATTATGAAATTTGGGAAACATTACAGTAATCTTATACATATATTTCACTAAATATTTCACACATATGGTACCACAAATCTAAATCTTGAACAAAATTGTGTTCTACAAATAGGACTTCTTGAGCCGCATTACTATCAACCCCCGTTGGGACTTGGTTTTGAAGGCAGATCAAGGTAAAATCCAGCGTTATGACTGAAAATCTGTGCGGAATTTGTGAGAAAACCTGCGAGTTGATAGTCCCTCGAACTGTGCAAATGCGAGATCACACTTAATTGACAAAAGGATGTGAATCGGGGGCTCGAAATGTGTGATCACTGGTGGTGTGTGCCAGTGGCTTGTATTGATCTTGATGTGATGGGCAGTGCGTGTGCGAAGTTTGTTCTTCTGAGAGAGAACATTGTTTTGGTATTGTTTAGTGTACTGATTCCCCCAAAAATGTGATATATTGATACCTGCCTTTACCAATTATGTTCGTATTTGAACATGATAAAGGAATGCTGGCAAACTAACAGAAACACTAGCACGTATGTTGCAGGGTGAACAAAGGCAAGCTGGCATTTCATTATGATCTTGCCAACATTTCGAACCTATTGAGGTATTATAGCATGTAATTAATCCATTGCATGCCATATCAGCAATTTATTTGGTAGTAGGGGCTGGTGCATGCAGCTCATTAATGGACATGCTCAGTATAGGCTCACATTATATGGCTTTGCACAATTATTTCCCTAAAGAATTCTGTAAATATAGAGCTGCCTTATAGCTGATGCACATGATAATGTCTTAAAGAAATTTTGTTTGCCGGCGAGCATTGCTTGTGTCATCAATGTCATAGGCACTGCAACTTGCCTGGGATGCTGAATGCTGAGAAAGGTGGAAAAGTACTACTGTTGGTGCCTTAGACAGCACGTAATAATATGTTTATCATGAACCTTGTGTGCACTGACATCTTCATGACTTCCTTGCATTTTGTCCATCTAACCATAACTACACGTACTTGTCATGTTTCCTGTCTTGTGCAAGGTCAGCATGTTTGCAGTGTCACTTCACCACATGTAAATTTTTCTTGTTATTTTTTAGTAAAGCAGCCTGATGGCTGCAGCATGTTGCATGACTGTGGAAGTGGAAGATGTGTTTGCATCTTTCTCACCCACGTTTTGTGGATTCCCAAAACGGGTTGAGCAAGTGATGCCACTTATCCATTGTCTGCTTT